CGCTTGAACCCAGGAGTTTGAGGTTGCTGTGAGCTAGACTGAGGCTACAGCACTATAGCCTGGTCAACAGAGTGAAACTGTGTTTCAAAAAAAAAAGAGAGAGAAACTTAAAGGATTTAATAACCAAATGAAATGCATAGTCTTTCATAGTCTTTAAATGGCTTCTTGTTATTAAAAAAAACATTTATTGGCTCGGCACCTGTAGCTCAAGCAGCTAAGGCACCAGCCATATACAACAAAGTTGGTGGGTTCGAATCCAGCCTGGGCCTGCCAAACAACAATGACAACTACAAAAAAAAACAACAGTCAGGCATTGTAGTGGACACCTGTAGTCCCAGCTACTTGGGAGGCTGAGGCAAGAGAATCACTTAAGCCCAGGATTTAGAGGTTGCTGTGAGCTGCGATGCCTCAGCACTCTACCCAGGGTGACAGCTTAATGCTCTGTCTCAAAAAAAAAAAAAATTAAAAATTAAAATTAAAAAAAAGAGAAAACATTTATAAAATACATTTGGAGGGAGGATCAGCACCCGTAGCTCAGTGAGTAGGGCGCCAGCCATGCACACCAAGGCTGGAGGGTTCAAGACCAGCCTGGGCCTGCTAAACAATAATGACAACAGCAACCAAAAAATAGACAGGCATTGTGGTGGGTGCCTGTAACCCCAGCTACTCAGAAAGTTAAGGCAAGAGAATCACTTAAGCCCAAGAGTTTGAAGTTGCTGTGAGCTGTGATGCCACAGCACTCTACCAAGCATGACATAGTGAGATTCTGTCCCAAAAAAAAAAAAAAGACATTTGGAGGGAAATTGGAAAAATTTGTAGGAAATTATTATTAACTTTGTTAGGTGGGAAAGGATATTATGGTTATGTAGAAAAATGTTCTTTTTTAAAAATGTACACTGAAGCGAATTGTCGTGATATCTATAATTTTACATACTTTTAAATACTTGAGCAAAATAGAAAATATGAGAAATATTAACAAATGTTAATATACTTATTCTATTAATCTCTTTTTGGAGTATTTCCATTACTCTACAATCAAATGCTTTTTTAAAGTGTTCAGCTTCTTCACTTATTTCAGGGTTAATACGGGGGCACATACAATCATGTTACACAAATCGGTTTTGTAGGGTTAAAGTCCACATCATAGTTGTGTCCTTCACGCAGTAAGTGTGCCATAAACCCTTGCAATGTACCCATTGGGTGGAAACTTACCCAACTCCTTCCCTCCACATTTGGATTTAATATAGTTTTTCTCCCATGTGAACATGTAGTTGTTAACTCTAGTTTCAAATTGGTACTGAGTAAATGTGATGCTTATTTTCCCATTCTTATGATACTTTGCCTAGGAGAATATTCTCCAAACCCATCCAGGTTGTTACAAAAGATACAAAACCTCTTAATACATCTTTATTATAGCTGAATATTATTCCATTATACATATACCACAATTTATTAATTGTGTTGAAGGGCACCTTGGTTGTTTCCACATCTTTGTGATCATGAATTGGGTGCAGATGTCCTCATAGTAAAATGTCTTTTTTTCTTTGGGGTAGATGCCTCTAGTAATGGGGTTACAGCAGCAGTTCTCAACCTGCAACCCACAGGAACTGTATTAAAGAGTTGCGACATTAGGAAGGTTGGGAACCACTGGGTTACAGGATCCCCTTTAGGGGAGGTCTACTTTTAGATCTTTGAGGAATCTCCATATGTCTTTCCATAAAGGCTGTACTAATTTGCAGTCTCACCAACAGTGGATGAGTGTTCCCCAGCCCTCAGCAACATCATCATCTGTATCCACCAGCTATTTCTGTTGTGATTATGATCTATAACAAACAACTCCAAAATTTCATTTCCTTACAACAAACAGATCACTTTTGCCCACTGGTCTGCAGGCCAGGGGGACTTGGCTTTGAGATGTGGGTTGGATTCAGGTCTACTCTATGTGTCTTTATTCTAGGAGCAGTGACCAAAGGATGAAGCAGCAGTGACTTCCAGGACCATGTTCTCATCTCAGAGGGCGAAGGTTCAAGAATGCTGGTGGAAATCCCCAATGTGTAGCCCCTCAGAGGCTCAGTTTGGAACTGGCACACTGTCACTTCCACTCATCGTCTGTGGATCAAAGCATGACGAAGACCCAGTGTCAACAGGGTAGGATGAATGCTCCCCTATAGCAAGAAGTCCTGAAAAATTATGTGGCAAAGAACCTGAATATAAAGGGAGGAAGTGAAGAGTTGGGAACCGCAACAGATGCACTCTCATCAGAGTTCCCAACTTTGTGTTTCCTGTAACACAACGTTCTGTTCAAACCAGTTCCTAATGGCTGCTTCTTGGAAAGTCTGTACACCAGCACTAGGAGAAAACCAATGAATCTCATATGGTTTTCCCAGCAGCCTAATTTACTAATTAACACAGTAACCACCTATCTTTTGCCATTTCAAAGACTAGCACCTAAGGCCAGCTGTACTCAAGAATCCAGCTTACTCCTCATTTATAAGTGAAATATGTTCGTAATTTCCCTTTTATAATGATATATTTCTCCAATTTTAATATCAGGTGTATCCAGATTAAGTAGAATGATTTGGAAGTATTTCTTTTTCTATTGTCTATAAGATTTGGCATGATCTGTTTTCTTGAAATTATCTTTTACTTTTACTTATACATATTAGTTGTCTATTTTTTTTTTTTTTTGAGACTTTGGAAAAAACAAAATAAGAAGAAGAATCCAACTTACAATTCTTTATCCTTGTCTGATTCCTCCAAGAGACCCGCATTTTCCTGCCTTCTTCCCTAAGCCATCCCTGTCACACTGTTTGTTATTGAGGCCAAAACATTTCTTCTTTTCCTCTTTGTTTTATCAGCAAAAGAACCTTAGACTTTATATGTAGTATATAGGGATTAGGTTGCTTGGAGTTGACGGGATAAGCATGGATGTTGTGTGTAGCATATTGAAATTGTGATAATTTAATTAAACCATGGACTTAATGGACCTCCAGGGAAAGTGTGAAGATCAACCTTTTTAAAACCCTGCTCCCTGTTGACGAACAATAGCAACAACAACAAACTCATGTTCTCCTTCATAGTAAACATTTAATAAGGGCACTTTCTCTGAGCCTACTATACTGCTTTGTTTTCACAGCAATAGAAACGGAGATCAAAGACAAACAAGACCAGTGTCTTGAGAGCCCTGGGGAGTCGTTTTGAGAAGGGGAAAATTGGGTCAAAAATCAGAGGTCGAACAAGAATATAACTAAAACTAATCAGCTGGATTTGGCCAAGGCCACCACCGCTAGTTGCACAGGTTGTACCTTGCACAAGGGCGCTTGCCCAAAAGGACAAATGGAGGTAAAATTCAGCATGTGCCCTGTCTGCCAGCCTAGCCAAGGCCCTCGTGCAGGCTGGCATCATCTGGAGAAAGGGATGCCATTTATAAACACACAAGGTTGTGATCTGTTTTCCAAGCTCAAGCCCAAAGAACTATTCCGTACATTCTCCCAGCGGGGTCACCTTTTCTAAATAGCACAATGTACCATATGGGCTACTGGACCTGAATTTAGCAACTGGGAGGTCAAATGGGAGGATAAAATTTTAAATTTACATGACAGCCATTTGTAAACCTATAACACTATTCAAGCATAAAGCAGGGCAGGCCAAGGTGATTCAGAAGCATAGCAGGTGACAGGAGAAATTACATTGACCACAAATATTTTCAGCCTAACCCACAGCAGGTAGATTCCACATGAGATACTCAGGTATCTAACAAACTCCTCTGCAGGAAATCATTTGAGAACAGACTGGCCAGAAAGCACAGATGGGAGTAGACATGATGATTTCTAAAAGTCCACCTTGGTCGCAAACCCCAGGGCAGACCTAGCCAGTAGGGTAGAAAAACCTCAGACAGCAGCACCTGAGCCAGCCTGGCCTGGCATAACTGCTTTGATCTCACCAAGTTTGACTTGAAGAAAACATCTGGTTCCGGGGCTTCTCAGAGGCCAGTTGGTACAAAACCAAGGGGAGGTTTTTGTAAAGGTCTGTAGCACCGTGATTGGGGGGATACGCACAGTGCTACAAAACCCATGGAGACCTGTACAAAAACTGCAGGGGCAAAAGCGCTATTTCCCTGGGAAATTCTCAGCCTGGGAACCATCCCCCAAGGGATGAATTCACCAGGCAGCTTTCCTCCTTGCTTGGTGGCCCAGAAAGGATGCCAGGAAGTTGACTGGACCACGGAAGATGACCTCTCACTCCCTATTGTTCTCCCTTGGGTGAAACGGGCATTTCAATGTTTTCTTACAGCACTTTTGGGGAATACAAAAAAGTGTTCTTTAAAAACACCTCTTATCTTGCTTTCATGCTGATTCTACTGCAAAAGAGAGTTCTATGAGCTACCTCCTGTGGAATGTATGAATCCAACTCCCTAGAGACATTTGCTGAAATGCTTTGCTTTGCAGTTGGGAAGATGGATTTGAAGAGAGATTGATTTGTTTGTAGGCAATCACCAGCCACCACTGCTCATTCTGAAACAATTCTGTAAATCACCCGTACCTGATCAGTGCTTCACGCCACCTCATCTGCTCTTATGGGACCACACGTTATCAGCCCTTGTCGCAGCATCGGTGACTGTAAATGCCTTGACTCTGAAGTAGTCACAGATCCAAGACCCATAATCTTTCAAGATTGACAACTAGATGTAGGTCTAGGAAGAAAAAAAAAATCTAAAACAACAGAAAGCGACCTTTCAGAGCTCCTGGTAAGGTGTGCTGTGCAGGGAACATTCACAGCAGGAAGATGGCTCCTGCACGCTCCTCACACAGCAGCCTCCTGAAGCAAACCCATCCCTATCTGCAGTGGATTAAATCATCAGGAACCAGCTCGATGAGCAACAAGTGCCATCTTCCAAGGAGCCAAGCCCTAAAGATCCTTCAGTCCTAAAGCTGCTGGGGAGAAGACAGGCAGGAAGTACTGTGCAGATTATAGAGAGGTCGTCCAACGCCGTGATACAGATAAGCTCATCTTCGGAAAAGGAACCCGTTTGACCGTGGAACCAGGTAAGTAATTCGTTTGTTCAAAATTTGGAGTTAAGGCATCTTCCATCTAGGAGGCAGAAATATTAGAAAACAGGAATGGGTGAAATAGCGCTTATTTAGGGTTGAAGACAACTGCTGGGAAGAAGCAAACTATGGTCATTCCTCTCCATGGGAGTGGGGCTGGGGAGCATCCGCAAAAACAGTGGTCTTGAGGGGATGTCACGGAGCCCATAAGGTCAGGGAAAACTGAGAGAATTCTGCCCAATTCATGAGATTCGTGTCCAGCTGTAGAAACCAGAGTCATTGACCCAACTCCCGAACAGAATCATAACTGACCGGGAATGAGGCTGATCTGAGTCGGGGTGATTCTATGGAGGTGACTCCAAACATAAACAGCTCTGAACTTCCTCAGGCCAAACACATCCATCCCCTGGGCATGGAGGGTGAGGCCAGAGCAAGTGGTCACTGGTGCTCCTGCATCTCTCTTTAGAGGAAAGGAATGTGTTCCAGACTTTTGTTTCTAATTGTGTGAATTGCAAAGGGAAACTAGGTTACTGGTGAGAAGTAGAGAACGTTCTGGTTCTCACTGAGACCAGATGCCAAGCAGAACAAAGTGAATGTGTAAGGCTTCTAAGAAATGTTTTGTAGTCTCTAGGACTCAGCCAGGAGTAGTCCGCTAATGACTCCTAGTGTGTCCATCTCATAAAGAGGACAGGGAGCCACTTGATTAACTGTTATGAAGGAATCGTGCTCAACTCAGAGGGCATCTTTTGGTGTCCTGTAAGTGGCATTTAAATTCAACTGTGTCTTGCTAAAAGAAGATAGTGGTCTCCACTTAGCAGAAACTTCCAGTTAGATAATGCATGTTAATGTTAAGCCAGAGAATGTAATAAACCAAAACCAAAAGCCAGGGCAAAGTTCCCAGGGAATTCTAGCAGTAAGGCTTGTGCTCCCAAATCTGCCCAACTGCCTACTAGAAAAAAGGAGCTTTGGCATCCATCTTGTGTTTTCCAAGGTAAAAGAAGGCTCTAGAGGGGGAGGGTGGAAGAGGGTGATGGGTGAGGTCTCTCAGAGACTGAGGACTGGGGGGCCCTGGTGTAAGCAGTGAAGGAGGCTGGGGGGAAAATATGGGCATCTACATCACATCCCCAGGCCCCACATGCTGTGGGAGAGAGAAGGACTTTGCCCTTTGAGAGACAGAGAGAGAGACCCAAAAGAGATGCATTCAGGCTTTTCCTTTTAAAAATCAAAATCTTTGAAAAATTTAGAAAATTCAACTAATTCAGGCCCTTGCCTTCCAGGGGCATCCAAGCTGAGTCCCAGCAGACTGCATGCAGGTTATCTGAGTCTTGTTTCACTTATCTGCGGTATCAGACACTAAAAATTACACTTGAACTTTTTTTTTCTTTGCTTATCGGTTTTAGTTAGCATTTATGTATTTAATGTATGGCCCAAGACAACTCTTCTACTTCCGATGTATGGCAGAAAACAAAAAAAAAAAGGTTGGACACCCTTGCAATGCCCTTTTTGGCTTTAAAACATCTCATTAAAATAATAGTTTACCCACATTTCTAGCAGAGCGAAAGACTGATTTCCTAATTTCCCTTTGTTGGCCAAGTTCCTCCTAATGGATTAAGTTCCTCTGTTTACAGAGTTACATGGTCCAATATTTCCCTAAGTGGGGAGCGCACAGTGCAGGATTTTAGATGGTAAATGGATACTTTCTTTTCATTTTAATGACTCTTAATGGATATCAGGATAGTACAACTAGATCATCAAAACCATGCGATCTAAAGTTTTCTTTTAATTATATTCTAAGTAAATTTTTTTT